TGAAATGGTATTTGGGTGATCTGCAGACCTAGTGGAATTGGTTTCCACAGATCTTCACAAAGCTTTCTTTCTAGCAAGTGTTTATTATACTGAAATCTCTGAAGTTCAGAAAAGCACTCAGGATGACAAGACTGTATTTCTGCCATTGAGACTGAGTAAGCGTTATGAAATAGTTAATACTTAGTGACGCTGTTAACAGAAACCCATTCAGTTGTTTGCATCAGGAGAGGAAAGTGTGTTTTCTTTACCTGACTCACAACAATCACCTTTACACTTACTGTTGTAACAATGTCAACACATATCCATGGCTCAAGAGTTGAAATCCAGGAATTTCTACATGTAAAAAAAGAATTCTTTGTAAAATTCCTTCTAAAAATTTGAAAATTCTTTGTAAAGCATTAAAACTCTGCACGTCAGTGCTTTCAATTATATTTTTCAATTTATGTATTTGCGTGAAAATTTTCATTTTCCAAGAGCTGTCATTTTTCATTGCAAAAACATTCCCCTGGAGAAATGTTACCAGTGTTCAGTACTTCTGAGAGTTAGAATAGACGATCTGTGAATTTAAATGGCCAAGTTTAACCACCTGAATACAAACACAAATTATTTGCTAGGAAAACAGACAATCAGCAGTGATTTTCTGAAAGCAGAAAAAGCATAGTTAGACCTTAGATTCCAGGCTGGATTTGTGTTTTTAACAAGAGAAAAAGAAAAGCCCTTTTTTAAAATTAAGAGGTCCCTAAACATGCTGCAGCACTCTTCGACTTCCATATACCTTTGCCAGTAAATTCCATATCAAAGTTCCTGAAGTCTGTCTCAGCTAGTAATGTAGTAATACTTGCTCTATGTCTCCATATCACCCTTGTGTAAACATTTTAAGAAAAGGACTTGCGATTGTCTAGTAATACTAATCACTAATAATTAGTGTTACTAATTATCCCGTGGATGTTTGCAGAGGAGCTATAAAGGGCGGGGGAGATGTCCACCATGTCTTTGGAGGGTGAGCGAATTCCCCCAGGTGCAGTGGTGCACACTGTCTCTGTGATGTTCATGGAAGCGCTCCTGTCTCTTTTCCGGATTTTATTTGGCAAATATAACACACGCTGCTTCTTGACTCTCAGCTTTAGGTTTGTGGGGTGGGACTGCGTGTACGCAGCCACATCCCATAATTTTTATTCTGAATTTTGCAGGTCTGTCTTCCCTCAAAAAATCAGATTATGTAAAAATATATATTTTAATTAAAATTGTGTGTGCTAAGTATGTTTTTTGATTCAGTGTGATCTGAGGTGTTTGTTACATTCTTGTGTGGCGATAGACCTGGGAAGAACTAATGGATGCGACTTGACGGTCGCGTACATATGAGCATATCTGTCCCTGCCGCTGCAGGTGCTCCGGCCGTGTTCAGCATCATGCCAGTCTGTACGTCTCCTCAGGCTGTAACATAGCCTCATACTGAGTTTGAGGGGCTGCCAGTAACATCAGTAAAAGTTGGAAAATCAAAACCAGTATGGCCCACAGAGTTCTTCCTTTGCTTTGCTGGGCAATATCAGAAGCCTGAGGATTGTGTTTCTTTTACAAGTCTATGACTTATTCTGAGAGTCCAGAAAAATAGATAAAGTGCGTTGTAGCTTTCTGGTTTAGTGGTCATGAGCTGCGTCTGCAGCAGAGAATCAAACGATTTACTGGAAGGAGTCAGTGGTTTGAATCTCAACAGTTCAGTGCTGATGCTGACTTTGACAGTATTTGCTCATCTCTGTGCAAATGCCCATTCAAGCTGCTTTGATGGCTATAGTTTCTGGGTGCCATGGGATACCCAGGGATGCATCAGTTCACAGAAGGAGATTTTGAAATCTATCAGCCTGTATAATGGAAAAACAGTGGGAGGGCAAGCGAACTCCTTCCTGCTCCACAGTGGTACTGAAATAATTCAGGTGGAAGCCCATTGGAGTCAAGTGGTTTAACGCCTGCTGAAAGAAAGTCTAATTACATCGTCTCCAAGAGCAAAATAAAACCCGTTACGGTTCTTACGTGAGAGATTTATCAGGCTCCCCAGTGGGTTGGGAGATTCCTAGACAAACACGTGGGGTGCGTGTTTGTGCCAGGGAGCAGCGAGGGCCGGCAGCTCTCTGCGGAAGAGGGAGCTGGGACTGAGAGCGACAGCACGTGTGGCCGGGGCAGAGACTACCCGACAGCAGCCCAGTCCTGCTGCACTCAAGTGTGGCGAGCTTGACAGGACCAGTGATGGAAACCGGGGTCAGCTGGGAACGCAGGCAAGTTCATGGTGCTGGGGCAGGTCCGATGGCAAGCTGGGAGGTGCATCCATGTGGCTCAGGTCCAGATCCACAGGACGCATGGCCTGAGGGCGAGAGCCCAGCTTAAATGCAGCCTCTGGTGAGGAAGGAGCCCTTGCTGATGCTGGATGAGCTCTTTCTTTGCAGCAGGCTGAACCACGCTTAGGTACCCGCAGCGCACCAGAGAGCTGCCATTGCGTGTGAGCAGCCCGGCTCTGGGGTGGAGGGAGCAGTAAGCTCCAGGCCCAGGTGGTATTTTGCTTAAACAAGGCCAACATGACCATTGTGTTTGCAGTGCCATGTCAATAGTTTGCATAATTTCAGCAGTGAAAGGAAGGGATGTATGGAAGTGCATACACCTGAAAGAACAAATATAAGCAGTTCACGTCATGGCAATGTGCAGTTATCCTATTGAGTACTTACGGTGAAAGCATAATTACAAGCCAGACAATGCTAATGATTCTGAAGTGTCACCTGTATGTAGAGTTTAACTCTTACACAAAGAAGAAAAACAAAACATGGTACTGGAAGTCTTTGCGGTGCTTTAAGACGGCATAAATCTGCAAAAATGAAAATGAGTTTGAATGAGTCTTACCCCTCAGTTATTTACTGGCATACTAACACAACATGTGGCTCTGATTTCAAGAGACAGTTTGAGCTGAACTGACAGATCATTAGTGTTGAAATGGGAGATTCTATGCCATCCCTGCCTTTGCCTAGCCACCTGGTTCTGCCCCTTCCATTGCCCTGTTCCAGCACTTACACACTTCTGTGCACACACTGATGCACTGAAACAACAGAAAACTGATCTAAGAAGGGAAGATGTTGGAGTATCAGACTAAAATTAGATAGTTTCTGCTGGGTCAGTCATTTGAATCAGGAACCTGCAGTCCAAATCCTGGGGGGGTGATGGGAGGGTATCACTCAGAGCCAGGGTTTGGGACAGCAGGAGGGAGAGCAAGAGCTCTCCATTTTGGTGGTGGTGGTAAGTCACTGAGTTGGGTTCCACCCTTGGTGAAATCATGTTCTCAGGATGCCATGGAAAGCAATGGGAGAAATTTCAGCTTTACTCAAGTTAGTCAGAGTTTCTTCCTTGGCTTCAGTGACGCTAAGATGTCTCCGTTTATATTTGTTTAAAGCAAAAATGTCTATAAAATCAGCTTCTAATTAATTAGTGTGTTATGAATACAGTACTTAGACAAGTAAATAAATCTAACGGATTCTGGTTTGATTTGTACTATGAGGATTGCAAAAAAAAAAGTTAAAACCATAAAGGATCTATTCCTGCCCTGGTATAAAATGTGAAAACACCTTTTAAAATGTGTTTTGTCTTACTGCAGCTTTGTAAAATGTTAAATTTGCTGAAATACTCAGATTTCATTTGAGTGGATGATTGATAGCTAAGAAAAGTGCAGTTATGTTAGCTTTTTTTGTAGAGGCAAGCCATGTATGAAGTCTTTAGTGTACTTTGCTCACAAGAGATTCAAGAATAGGGTGACTTTGAACCCAGGCAGGTAAGATAGTTTCATTGTTCCATTTTTTATATGAAATACTTCTCCAGTTTTTATGTATCACATAACGGTGTTTGGGCAGTAGATGGAAGGGGAAAGATCTGAAACTGAGCGTCCAGCTCTTTTCTAGTGGTATATAAAAATAATGCAGCACTGGGGATTTGGGTTTTTTTCCATTTTGTTATTTTAAATTACATACGGTAAAAGATGACATCTGCACAAACCCCAGATATTCAGAAAATATAGCAATTTTTTAGAGTTAAGAAGTGGGAGAGCAGAGTACATCTTCCATCTTTCACCCAGATCTTCTGGTGACGCTCTGTTGGGTTTTGCTGGGATAATTACTGCTGCCTTACTGCAAATGTCTCGTAGATTTTTTGAGCTGTTAGATCAGTATAATGACAGACCTAATAGTCCATGTTCTGCTCCGCACAATGTAGTCTTTTTTTAATCAGGGAGAACCAGAGTCCCTTTGCTCTTCTACAGATCATGGCCTTCCCATTCCTGCCTTGAACAGCTGTGATTCAGGGTGCCTTTCATGGACCTTCTGGATGGATTAATTTCATTTCATTTTCACTGTCATGATAAACTTAATTAACATCACTGACAGCTGGTTGCAGTGAAAATTTATTTCAGCACTCGTGGGTTCTTCCTGCAAAGCTGTAACACTACCTTGCTAATGAATTTGCCAAAACGTGTTGCTGTTGGAAAGCTGACACTAGACAACTGCAGTAGATGGTGATACTCACAGTAATGATCACGTCCTCTAGACTCCTGCTTAAGGAAGGGGGCTTGGCAGGATGTCTTCTGATGTGATCCAAGGGCAAGTGAGGCAAGGCTGTATTTGTGTTAGGTCACTCATATCAGTCTGTTTGTATGAGGGACCACCATGGCTGGTGCTGACAGAGATGTTTTACTTAAGTTTACCTGAGTTTATCTAAATTTTAAGAGTTTGAAGGAACCTGAATAAAAGAAAGAAGAATCTACAAGAGGAGATAATGGTTCTGAGGACAGTGCAACAAGGGAGGAAGTAACAAATGAGACTGTCAGGTGCTAATAAGAAGATGCTTTTACTTGCAGAAGGATTGGGGTGAACACTTGGGGCACCTTATTTGTATTGTCACATAGAACTCTGAACAACAGATGACCTCAGAATCCAGGGGAGGATTTGGATTCCTCTCTGCTGTCCCCTCCTGAGAGGGACAGTGTGATAGAGTAAGCAACCTGTTCTACTGTAGGTCCAAAGGAATGAGTTTAACACTTGATCATAATCCTGTGAAAGGCTGCCTGTAAAGCAATCCAATCACAAATGGTTATCTGATTATTTGGATACTACCTGTATCATTCTCTGTGCACTACTGACTGCAGACGTTGCTTCCTCATAACCTGCATATATTGTACAAGTTTATTTTGGGGGACATTCAGTACAGGAGAGAACAAGTCATGTTCTTTAAATTTGTAAGCTATTCTGGTTATGATAAAATGTAAAGCAGCCTGAGGACTGCTCTGAATATTTCTCCTGTAATTCAACAAGCAGCCTGCAAAACTGGTGAAGCTATAAGGGAAATGCTTGGTGGAGCAGCTGTGGGAAAAGGTGGCAGTCCAGTCCATCCTCCTCAAGTGGCTTAAAAGGGCAGGATTGGGGATAAATTAATTGGTCCCCTGAGTCTAAATTGGTATATTCATCCAGATGCTGGGAACTGACTGTCAAAGAGCAGTGAGATGAGGATTTCTTTGCTTTATGCTCTAATGGAGGAGAACTCTCCACAGGCCAAGCACATGCAAGTCCCTCTGAGGGAGTCTAAGGGGACCTGCTTTCTGGGCTAGTATGGCTGGTTTTGTGTGGTCCTTCACATAGCAGTGGGAATCATTCACTGAATTTTTAAATATTTGCAGTTGACTCTTTGCTATGCACTTACTGGATCTGTATAGATAAACTTGTTAATGGTTTATGCAAATAACCGGTTTTTTGCATGTGTACTTAAACAGTTATGAAGACACAGGTACAAGTAAAACATGCAAAGTGTACGTACTCGCAATTGCAGGTCCTGTCTTACGAAAAAGTAGAAAGATTCTTTTGTTAAATAGCTTCAAATCATGTTTCCATACAGATTTCAATGAAGCAGTGCCAGAAACGGAGAGACTGGACTCCAAAGCTCTGAAGACTCGAGCTCAGCTTTCAGTGAAGAACAAGCGGCAGAGGCCTTCTAGAACAAGGCTGTATGATAGCATCAGTTCAACTGATGGAGAGGACAGCCTTGAACGAAAGGTGAGAAGGACTCTACCCTCTGTTTCAGGCTTCCTATGGAGTGCTGGATTGCCCCCGTAAGTCATTTCATCCTCTGTCTTTGTCCTTTCATTGTAGCACAGGCAGTATTTATTCCTCTGTGGCCAGGATGCTATGAATGTCCTTGAGTGATGTGCGAGTCCCATCTCCTTTGAGTCAGCACACCTGGTTTTTTGGTTTTGTGGTGTTTTCGTTTTTTAATAGGAATCCTGGGCTTTCTGATTTCTGTGTGCTTTATAATGCAGAGTGGGTCCTTTCATTTATGCAGGAGGTGAAAGGAACTTGAATCGTGCATTCCACTATTTGTTAATTTGTTAACACAATTGATATGATATTCAACTTGTTTTGTCCTGTTCTGACTTCGTCTGAAAGCAAATACCAATAAACAACACTGTGCGCAGTGTCAAAAGGTAATGGCATGAATTGCTGAAGCGTTTCATACAAATAGAAGGCTAAATAATGAATAAAAGAATTGCATGTTCAAAGTAAACCTTGCTCTGATTGGTTACTAAATGGTATAACCTGCTTTATAATCTCTTATACCAACAGCCGTCAAACAGTTACAGTAGTCCCATGCACATTTCAAAATCACCACTGCCCTTATGCATGAGAGCATCCTCACCAGCATCAGATTCTGGTGCTTCCTCCCTCTCCCCCGTGGCTAGCAGTGCAACAATCTCTCTTGACAACCTAACTGAAAACCAAGAAGAAGGACAGCACCACAAAGGAGGTGTCCTTTCCCCACATGCTCGGGGAGACACTCCACTTTCCTCTCCTTCAAAATCTGGGCACAGCTCTGAAGCATCTCCTTTGCATCACCCAGCTGGCAGGAATATTTTACAGGATAAAGGTATTACTATTTTTTACAATAAATTGATCCATCATTTTGCTCACTTACATCTGCTTTATGAACTTTTGTTGTGTAGTAGGACCTTAGCAACTAGAAGACCATCATCTCATAACTTCTTTTGTCTACCTGGAAGTCAAAAAATTACAAATGACCTTGTATGATGGTATAAGAAAAGGACAAAGTTTAAAACAAGATTGGGAATGGCTTCCTTTCCTTTCTTTTTTATTTTTTAGAACTCACTGAAAAAGCCAGGAGGAAGTTGCCTTTAAGAAAATCTTGTATTTTGCTTTAAAAAAAAAAATTATTGGACCTTGGGACATCTCTGTATTAGAAACATGCTTAACACAGTGTACTTACTCAAATTATGTGATTTTGGCACTGCTAGATGATTTTTTTGGAGGGTGGGGAAAGGAGTGTAAAGTAAGAATAACACTGTAGCTTTTAATTGCTGAGAAGCGGCATAGTCTAGATTAAACAAGAGGTTAGTGTCTGGAGACTCTTCATTTACAGAAAAAGAATATCAAGGAATTTGTTGGGGAGGTTGGCTGCATTGTTTATTTAATTCAGACTCTTTAAGTGTAAACTGGATAAAACATGATGCAATCATACCTAGCTCAGGTACATGTCTCGGATACCAGTTTATTAAATGCATTCACAATACGGTATGGCACAGAATACTGAGCCCTCCTTTTCACATGCCTTGTGAAGTCAAAATTAGCATTTTACACAACTTCAGCATTTTAAGCGACGCACTTTGCATTCTCTAACTGTCACATAAGCTAAAATACATGATAAAAATTGTTTATAAGCAAGGACTGAGGGAATAGGTCTGGATAGGTTCATAACAGACTTTGGCTTACTTAAATTAACTGACAAGAACAATTTGTTGAGGAATTTTGTTTGTCTGTGTGTCTGAAAAGACTTGCCACTGATTTACAAGCTGTTTTTTCTTCATCTTCACACAGGGCTTTCGCACAGATTCCTAAAAGACAGATTAATGAAGTTTTGTTGAATTTAGGATAGGTTAATATATGCCAGCATTTTTACATGGTTCTGAAATTGCTAGTCTAACTGTATAGTTTCTAATTGTATAGTTGTTAATGAATCAAAGTTAAATTCGATATTTGAGTTTTGCAAGTAAAAATAAGAATGTGACTTTCCAAACTCGTACTTCAGCTTGAGTGTATGATTGGTTTATCAGTGAAGTCATAAATCCTGCATTTCCAACTGATGTATGAAAAATATCTTGATAAAAATGTAGTGGAGACTAGCCTTGTAGTGTAAGGAATAGGGTATTATATTCCACCCACCATGTTGCTCTTTCCAGTTTAGGTTTGAAAAATAATCTCTGTCTAAATATTGGTGTCATGCTTTCCCCACTGTGACCATTAAGTAAACAACCAGTGCTTTTGGGTGTATCATGTACTGATGAGTACATGAAAATGAAACCAGAGCAATTTAGTTTCAAATGGAAACTTTTTATTTAACAAGTCCTACAAAAAAGAAATACCCTAAAGCAGTTGTTTGGCAACAAGTCTTGTAGTGATACTATTTTAATTGATGGTTACTTTGGCTGTCAAACTCCTACAGGTCAGAAAATACAAAGGGCCGTTGTATTTGTTCTGTGTGTTCAGGTAGGGTTTTTTTAGAGATGGAAAGAGAGCACATCTGTGGACACGTGTGTGTGCATTGATTAATCTCTCATTAGCAAAAGCGAGCGTAAGCAAGCTCACGCTTGTCTTTTTTTTTTTTTTTTTCTTATGAGATCCTGCAGTGTTGTGGGAAGAGCTGATGTGGCATGAGATCAGTTTCATTGCAAAGCGATGAGGCATTTTGCTTGTTTGTCTTTTAAACAACTTTTTAGTGGATGTGTACGATTCATTTCTTTTCCTCAGTTCTGCCTGTTGGATGCAACAGCATCCTTTGACAAGGCGGCTGAGGTGACCCCTCAGGGCAGCGCTCCACGATGTGAGGCTGGCTGCAGCTGGTCTGTGAGATTGGGGAAGAAAGTTAGGTCTAGTCTCCTTTCACATCCATCAGCCGCAGATTACTTACACCAGCTCCTTGAGGCTGAAAGTGATGGATTAAACAGCTTCTGTGTGATTTATTCCGAGCAACTGGCTCTCCTGCACCCTCTCTGAAGAACTACAAGGAGTCAGGGAAGATGCACCCAACCAGGGTGGTCAAAGCCCCCTCCTGCCGAGGCAGGGCACCTGCAGCCCTGTGTCGTGGTTTAGCCCCAGCCAGCAGCTCAGCACCACGCAGCCGCTCGCTCACTCCCCTACCCCGGTGGGACGGGGGAGAGAATCGGAGGAGTAAGAGTGAGAAACACTCCTGGGTTGAGATAAGAACAGTTTAAGAATTGAAATAAAGTAAAATAGTAATGATAATAGTAACAGTATAATAATGATAATAATAATAATATACAAAGCAAGTGATGCACAATGCAATTGCTCACCACCCACCGACCGATACCCAGCAGCCAGCTCCGCTCCCCTGCCAACCCCCCCCAGTTTCTGTACTGAGCATGACGTTATATGGTATGGAATAGCCCTTTGGGCAGTTTGGATCAACTCTTCTGGCTGTGCCCCCTCCCAGTTTCTTGTGCGCCTGGCAGGGCATGGGAAGCTGCAAAGTCCTTGACTAGCATGAGCAGTACTTAGCAACAACTAAAAACATCAGTGTATTATCAACATTCTTCTACTAAATCCAAAACACAGCACTGTGCCTGCCACTAGGAAGAAAATTAACTCTATCCCAGCCGAAAGCAGGACACCCTGGTTGGTGGCCACTGCCATGTGCCAAGCACTGTCTACCTCCATGTGTGCAAGACCCTGTAGATTCAGATCTACTCTGCCACTGAAGCTGGTTTTGGGACCTAGCCCATCCACCTTCCACTGTATCCCGTAGCCAGCATGAATGTTTCCCCAGCAAGTCATCATTATTGGGAGGGCCCTGGCTGGGCCAAGCTGCATGTGAGCGGGAGCGTAGTGGTACAAAAGCCCGAACAGAAATTTGCCGTACCAGGTAGCTGTTACAGGTCCCTGCTGAGCTCTCCAGATTATTCCATCTACTACAGCAGCAAAACCTCCAGCTACTAAATGCTTTCATTATTTGCCCACCACAAAAGCAGTGTACCTTATAGTTTCATTTACTTTTGTTAAGTTTCCCAAAAAGCCCACTGCCCCCTGGCCCCCAAGCCCCACTTGCCTGTGAATAGCTAGTGTGAAAATAAACATTATGACTTTTATTCTTGTAAGTGGCAATTTTTACAGTGGTTAAATGAGAAGTATGCATTAAAGGTGAAAGAGGAACCATAAGAGGAGACGGAGAGTAGTGTGCACAGTGTAGGGTTGATGGAAAGTGTGCATTGCCTAAAGTTCTCCTCAGCCTCCCTGGGGAGTGGATTTCTTCTCAGGAGACTTTGCTTTGCTTTTGTCATTCTTTTTGTCATACCTTTTTTTTGTTTGCTTTTTTGGCATGAGGTTACTTGTCAGTTGTTCTTGATTTCTTTTCTTTAACATAAGGACTTGTGTTGGTAGAGATAGTATGGCTTTTAGAGTGTGGGTATTGCAAAAGGCTTATTTTCCTGCTTTTCCCGGGATTTATGAACCAGTTGCGCACTGAATTTTTTACTTGAATGAAAACTTGGCCGAATATTATCCACAAAGTAACATACAAAGTTCTGTACACATCGTTGACTGTCCTGTGATAGTGCTGTGGTATTTTGGGTTAATTCTGAGGGCTTAATTTATGTCAGCTACAGTAGGACAAATCCACAAACCCAGCAGTGCTTTCAGTTAAAAGTCACTGTACATCTGAGGTCACATTGTGAAAGTCACCAAACCGCAAGTGGCAGGAATGATGGACATTCATTTGCTTCCTCTAGAGTGTTTGGGAACACTCTTTATGTTTCAGAATCACAGAAACTGTATCTGAATTTTTTGAACTGCTGTGTGTTTTCTTTTAGCTTCCATATAGATTTCACAGGATGTTTTGCAGACTCAGATTCATTGTTTTGGCTTTATAGGTACTGCAGGCTGTTTCCTCTTTAGGCTTTAACAGTGTTTGTGGAAGAGATCAAAAATTGGTAGACGTCTCAGGGCAAATTTATTAACTAAACAACTTTTAATTCTTTTTTTTTAATTCAGAATGGTCAGATTTCAAGTTAAATGTTTATTTTTAATGAAGATGTTCAAGCTAAACAGATAACTGTTACCTAGCATGTCCATCATAAAAGGTACCCTTGGGTCCAAAGTTCAAGAAAGTATTTCAGGAGTCATTTTGGAAGTAAAACATACTGAATTTTGCCGTTGCCAAATGAATTCTGTAAAAGGAAACATAAGCAGCTACTGCTGAGTTTAAAAATGGATTCACTGTAATGTTTACCTATAAATCTTTTGTGTTGTTCGACTTACTACGTATTCATTAAAAATCAACCAAAATTAACTTTTCGTTTTCTTCAATTAAAATAAGATTTCTTCATGTGTATTTTCAAATTCTGAAAGTATTTATTTTTATTCCTCTTCACACCATCTTCTTAAAAATGAGAATAATTCAACTAATTAAATTGTGTACTCACACACGTGTACATGTATGCATATCTAATTATGAAAAGATATACAAACTGTTCTGGATGGAAAGTGGAATAGCTATCAGTAGCAATTAAAAATAATAATGTACATTCTTCCATGTACAAATGTATCCTAGATGGTGCCACATGTGCTCAGGCAGCAAGAACAACTAGCCCTACTATAGGGCATACAGAAAAACTAAAGCGAAAACTTGCAGATCTTGGGTAAGCATTTTGTTATTTAAAATACTTTTTTTTTTTTTTTCATTAAAAGGATTGAAAGTAACATTTCAAAGATGTTTCCTGATGTTTTCTAATATTCTTGTAGGGCTCCCTTGAGAAGGAGTTCAAACAAGGGCAAGAAGCGGAAAGAGAAAGAAGCTATTAGGGCGACCTATGGCAGTAGGTATGGGTAAAAGATGAGGATGCAAGAAATATGCCAGAACCATTGGAAAAACCTAATCATCCTAGCAGATGGGAACATTAACAGTCCCACTGACTTCATCTAAATAAGTATTAAGCTTTGAGATAACCTTCTGAGCTTACAAACCTAGATTTCTTAACTAATGAAAGACCAACATATAATCTAAAAATACTTGGAGGCTTATAATATCATGACATCACTACTACTGTCGCGTCCACTAATGGGATTTGCAGAAATAGGTTGTAAGAGCTGGCCTACAAGATGCACACATGGTCAGTTAATAATACCCATGAACCAGAAATCTTCAGACAATTCCACATTTTTTTTTTTTTAAAAAGCCCCCAGAGCGAGGATGGGCAGCAGCTGTCCACTGCATCTTCACAGCACCCACTTCAGGAATGCTTTCAGAAGGGTTTGTTTCTGAAGATGAACATTTACGTTGAAAATAGATAGGAAAAATGCTGACTGCATTTGTCACATCACCAACTCTCAGGGAAGGAATTGTGAATTCCTTGTGAGAGCTGATGAGACCACATCACCAGCATCTGGACTCTGAATAAATAAATGAATGTTCAAAATGGCAGGAAGCAACCTTCTCTGCAAAAGCTAGTGTAGATTTTTGCTGAAGGTCTCCCGTCACCTACTGATGAGTCTGACAAGATCACAGCTACAGGGGGGCGATACTTGGTTCCAGGTGTGAAAGACAAGTTAATGTCAGGAGTGCTAGTCAAACTTAATACGTTCCAGAAGTCTAGAAAGGACACAGCAACTCACTGCACATAAAACAATGCAAAAGAAAACATGTGATAAAAGAGCTATTAGAAGAAAGCAAACTTTGAATGCTACTCAGAAAATAATTGTGGTGGAAAACCAGTATGTAGCTGTTTGTGGAGTTTTGCTGATGGTCTAATATATGGAGGCCCAGTGACAAGTATATTGTGTAGCTCCGTAAAATCAGAAAAGCAAAAGAAACTTTAGACTTCTGACTTACTCCCTCAGGCACACTGTACTGAAGTGCCATGTTCTGTCTCAGCATACATTTGTATCCTGCAAATAATCTGGCAGGATCTTCAGCGATCTTAGGCAGCAGTCATTGCCTCTGCACTCGTGTCAGAAAACCTGTTGCAGTTGGTTCCACTGGTGTGTCTGGAGTTGGTGACATTCACCGCTGGATTTCCCAAGTGACAGGGGGAGATTTGTTAAAGCAAATTCTCTGCACCACTGTGTAGCTGTAAGGCAGCTAGTGCCCTTAGCAGGGTATTAAACATCACGTAGCATTTAAATACTAAGCCACAGCGTGAAGGGAATGAATATGTGCTTCTTTGTAAGAACTTGATATGCTTCTTATACCAACACAGTATGTTACAGATGTTTGTGAGATCCCATAGGTATCTTCCTTAGAGAAACCAGGTCTCAGCCTAGGGAGATCAGTTTTGATTTGATAAATCATTTGATAAATCGGTTATTTCTATTGTTTGTTAGCATTTCTGAGTTCAGATACAGTTACTAAAAGCAAAGTTTAATACTGCTTTCAAAGTCAAAATTCATAAGCATTTGTAATTCTCACTGTAAACCGGGATGTTATTATTTCAGTGTAACTTTTTAAACACCCGTTGTCACTTCCTTTGTTACTAACTCCAAAGAATTTGCCTCAGAAGAAATGTGAGGATGTTTTCTCTACAGTCCAAAGCTGTATAAGCTCTTTGAAAGAAGGAAGATGATGATCAAAAGACAGCATCCTGTTATAATTATGTCCATTACAGCAACTGATTGATGTAGAATTAATCACGCTGTCAGATGTTGCATGCAATATTTTGCCATTGCCAAAAAATAGCACACAGGATGTGTAAATAGAATCCTGAATTATTTCCTAAGACTACCACTAATGTTACATATATAAAAAAATTCCCCATTTAACTAAGAAGCATATATTCCCCTGCCTGAAGCTAGGTGATTCAGGCAACATAATTTGTTTTTTCTTTCTACTTTCAAGCAAGATTAGAGGATGAGGGAGGAGTACAGGACTGGGTCAGATACATCTACCTTTCTTTATGTAGCTGAAGGGAGGGAGGATTCTTCTTCTGCTTCCATGGGTGGGGGCCCATTCACAACCTTGGTTTCATCCATACAGAAAAGAGGCTTCACAATATACAAAGCTCTAGTGATTATATTAATAATGATTTAGAAGCTGTCCAGAAGGTAGAAGTTGAGGGGACATTTATATATGAGCAATTTACTGGTGACTGCTAAGAACAGTAGAATTTTAATGCTCTGAAACAGTAAGATATACGTTGATATAAATAATATGAGAATATCACATATGCATAAGTTCTTTAAGGCAGACACTTTGCATAGTTATTTTTAATTTACATACTGTGCTGTTGACATTATATATTTAGTGAATAATTTAGGCATTTTATTTTATAATTGTTACCTTTGCCTTGATCGCATTATCCACTGCAATCTCTGTTACTACAAATAGAGAAGCTGATAATATCACATAGGTGTTTCTTTCATTTTTCCATACTGATATTTTTCATATTTAATAACATTAAAATCAAGATAATAATACTCTATCAGTATTTAGCTGTTGTAGTAAAGGTGCATCTCCATAGATGGATACAGATGCACCTGATTCATTCTGCCTGTGCTCAAAATCTAAGCCAGACCTTCTCTGGGAACCAGAGCCTGCCTGGGTCAGTGCTGAGTCTAATCTATTTAATCATGCTGAGATACTGCTGGGGCTCGGAAATGTACTAACACAACGTGGCTTCTTGACTGCTGCTGCTTTACATCCGAATGGCAGGAGCACAGGCATTTTCAGCTGGCGTCTGTCTCCGCTTGCTGGGTGTATGTTGTCCAAGAGAGCTTGAGTTAGAAAAAGAATCAAAAGAACCCACTTTTTTCTTCTTTTGCTGAAAAAGAGATTCAGGCATGCCCCTACCAGCTGCGTGCCACTCAGTTCTTTAGTCACAGTTACAGGGAATGTCACTTTTTTTACAATTAACCGCCTCTGTAGCATTTTGTTTTCTCTTCTTTTATAATCTAACACATATTCCTGCTCCTTTCTCTTAAACAGGACCGCCAGAGAGATGCTGCAGAAATCAGCAAACACTAAATCTTTAGCAGAGCGATCCTCCTCTCTCCCACACTGTGTACCATTCACATGGTATGGAGAGAGTGGCAAAGGATCCAATTCTTCTAGCAACCTGCCATCGCCTACCAGCTCCACTGAACCTTCCTCTGAAAATATAAGTCCAGCTAAAAAAGGGTCAAAGGTAGAAGATAAAAACTACCTTATTCCCACTGTGTTGAGTGGCATAATTGGCTTCATGTTTCTGGAAAAGAACAGGCCAATATGTGACTACTACAATTAATAGTGCATGGTGTTCATTGTACGGTAAAAGCTCATCTGAACAGAACATCTCTGTCATTGTACCATTCCACATTCTACCTTTTTACTCTGTGTTAATGTACATTAATTCAGTAAACTAACTGTGGTGTGCTGTACCGTAACAAAAGCAAGTGGTGCCAGTGGAAATTAGCATTTGGATCCACTGAACAAATGCTAGATTTGTGTATTCAGTTATAGATATTTTCTGCATTCTTCAGGACTGATTGTGGGAATACCTACCCATGTTCAAATGAGGTGTTTGCAAGTGAAGAAATGCTGTATGCTGTCAGTCATTTGCCTTTTTCCCCCCCAATAATGAAATCTGTTTGTCATGCATGCTGGATGTTGGATTTAATTCTCTATATGAAGATGCTTGAACTGTAAATATGAACTATTGCAATTTAATACATCTGTGTGATTCCTTCCTATGTGCATGAATGTTTCAGCATGATAACTCCTTAAATAACCCTTAGTTACAGTAATATACTTAGCTGTTTCATGTTTATTTTCACTTCTGGAAAATATTTCTCTGCCTGTATCTTCTTATAACTTGTAGCATTTGACTTTTTGGTCAAATTACTGGTCTGGTAAAAAGAAACAGGTATGGTTGTCAACTTGATGTACAGGAATATGAATCAGAAATCTAATTTCTCTGTCTTCTGCAAGCACATCCATGTACATAATAGCAGTTTCCACAGGCTTTTCTTACTCCTTCTGTGCCAAAAGCTGGTGATACCTTACTTCTGCTGTGCACCAAGCTATGCAAGGTCATAGCTGTGCTTGTGTTACCTGCTAGGGAGAGCAACACAAGGCTGACCAGTCCAAATCAGATTGGTGGAGAAGAGCATAGATGAGATCTCTGAAGATTAAAGAGAAACTAATCAATTACCTGGTTTCTTTTCAAAAAGAAAGATGAGGATTAGACATGTAAATCCTATTTGTGCCTTTAAACAAACGTTGTATTAAAAATAATTTTCAAATGGGGAAAAAAGCACCCCCTTTTACAGTTAATATTAGGTTGAGGTGTGGGTGGCAGGGGGTTGGGGGGGTTGTCCTGCTATCATAATTATTAGCAGGCCTTGGCTATCTTGTGTTTTTTCTATAGAAAATTGAATTTTAAAGACTTAAATACATTGTAAGGCTGAAGCTTTTGCAAAATAGAGGTGAAAGAAAAATCAGAGTACTTAAAAAAGAAAAAGATGTTTTTCACACAACAGGTGGTAAAGCTGTTGAACTCCTGGCCTAAGAACACTGTGGGGGCTAAAAGTTTCCATATTAAGGAAGCTGCTTGGATTTTCTTCTCCTCTATAAAGAGCTGGGAAAAGCAGAACAGGAATTCTAAGCGCAGGTGTGAGAAAACTGATTACAAAAACATTTTGATGTTCTCTGTAAAGTTTGCAAGCTCTTAAATTAACAATTCCTACACTGCTATTCAGTTTTTTAAAGCACAGCGTGATACCAATATTTAGTTGGATTTCGAGCAAAACTAAGAGGACCAACACTGGATATTTTTGGAAGACTTCTTGTTTTCAGGAAAGATAGGTATAATATCTTGGGGAGGGGAAAAAAAAGATAACTTTTTTAGTGTTGTTTTTGGTTTTGATGTTTGGATCCATTCTTTTAAATTGAATGTCAAAGGTGAATTGAATTTGATATTCATATAGATGTTAGAGTAGAGTAGAGATTAGAGATCTCCATATCATCAACTGTATATTCAGGTTAAATGGAATATCACGGTGTCCTTAATTTTTTATAGATTCTGGTTTTTTATGGTTCTCACTCTAATGTGACGTACTTGTTAATTTTTGTCGTCTTCTGATGGTGATTTTACTGTATTCCTGGAAAATATGTGCACGCTTTGGCTATTCTTTGCTGTAAGGTGTGATGTCTGTCATTGCATTGTTAAGAAAAAACAGGGTTTGCTTTATGGCTATTAGCTCAGTAAATAACATTCAATATCCAAAGATCTCTTTTACTTTCAATTTCAGTTTTTTTTAAAGGTATAGGCAAAGAGGGAGGATCCTTTCACTTTTCTAGGAGATTATTTGGGACCCAGAAATGGATTCAAAGGATATTCTCCTTGCTCTTTCAATAGCAGTTGTTCTCCTTGCTCTTTCAATAGCAGTTTTCACTTCTCTCTGCTAATTAATCCTCTGTCCTATTCTTTGTGCTACTGCCTGTGCTACGCTTGTCCTAAATATTTGGAGGACAGTAAAATGCTAGTGATTCACCTGCAGAAGCAGTAATTTAGCTCCAGGATGAGAGCCAGCATCTTAAGAGGGACTCTGAAAACGGCTTTCAGATACCTTTTCTATTCATTGAGGCAAAGGTGTCTCCTGAAGTACATAGCGGTAAAAATACTGTGTATTCTATAAATATTAACAATACTAAAAATTAGGCTTCCTCATGTGTATTGTAACTGGTTTGGTAAACAATTGAAATCACTCCTGAACTATGCCAGCCTGGAAGACAGAAAGCAAATTTGCCTTTTAGATGCATGTATGAGATCAGTTGTTCATTCTAACTCATCTTTTTCTCCACAGAATTTCACGTTCAACGATGACTTCAGTCCCAGCAGCACAAGTTCAGCTGATTTGAGCGGTTTAGGAGCAGAACCTAAAACCCCAGGTTTCTCGCACTCCTTAGCACTGTCGTCAGATGAGGTACGCTGATGAAATTGTTTAAGGTGGGAAATGGTTGGTTTTCTCCCAAGGCATTTTGCTTGACAATTAGTCAAATAATAAAGGGATATTTTTTAGGTAGTAGAATGGGAGAAGAAAAGTAATCTTGGTTCCTAGATTATGATTTTTCTTGTTCATATAATAATGACTTGAGATAAAGGTCCTATGGTGTTATCATAAGAAAGTAGAATGCAGCTGGTTTCCTAAGAGATGCTATATCCTCACACATTTCAATACATTTTTTCTACATTCTAAATATGTACATGTTGACCCATAGATACAGAGATATATATACATACACACTAAACTAGACATAACTAAGACATTTTTGAGGTAATAAATATACAGTATAGCTTGGTACATATAGTTGAAATGTAAGGTACCTTCACCTAGACTAATTTTTACCCTGATACATTAAAATAATAGTGACCTGTACATGCAGTAATTGTGTGTTACTGTACCTGAATGTATGTATATTGATTAGAACGTATATGTGTTAATCCACTTTGCATTCTTGTGCTTGCTTTGCACAGTGGATTTTAATTCAGTTACTTCAAACCAGAGGTTTTTTGAACAATGATAATGTGAAAAAGCATACCTAACCCTGTAAATGGGTGACATAATTGAGCTGAATATAATACATTGAAAATACTTTTCTTAAGATACTAGTTTTCTAGCTCAGTTGTCACTGAAGTTGCACAATTTGACAGTAGCTGACAACATGTCCTATGGACTCAGGAAACCTGCGCCTTCATTCTTTTACAAACACTCCGTAAGAACTTCACGTTTTTCATGTGAGGTTTGAGCCAGGGGATTTTTTCTGGAGAGGAGGAACTTGAAGTATCTATGTCTTATTTTTTTTTATGATAGTTAGGTTTGTTCTGTTACTGCCTGCACGCTTTACATGGGCTTAAAGAATGAGAACTGTTCTGTGCAACCCCATTTGCCAAAATGCAAGTCTACAAATGCAACCATTCTTTAGAGGTTACTTACTGCAGGTAATAAAGGGCAAAAATTTGTAAGAATCGTAGGAGAGTGCAGACAGGTCTGTATATTCTATGAATTACTGAAAATAACAAAGTCATCATTTATACTTTATTTATTATTAATACTATCTTGATGATACATTTCATTCTCTTACCATGTTTCATTCCCCTTATAATATGTAATTTATTGTGACAATGCCCTGTTCCCAGTGGTATTGAATTAAACGCTTGAAAATGCTTTCATTTTGCTTGTTCAGCTCTTTATCACTTCTAAAATACCAAGCCTGAACAGGTCTATAAAAATGAATGTGTTTTGCCCATCCTCTGCTGTGTGCCAAATTGCAGTCTCCGAATCGGGCGGCGTGTTCGGCAAGAGCTGCAGTGGAAACCTCCACAACCACCCTGGCAGGGGATTAGGCCAGCGTTGCTCTTCAGCCTTTCATGTCATATTGCTGCAAGCGCTCCTTCGCTCAGGCTTCCCTGGCAGATCTGACATGCTTATTTGAAGGAGATGGAAAAAATGAGAGGGTGGGAGGGGACCCAGTTCTTGCAGGTTGTTCTCCTCTAATTAAGGAGCTTTTGCTTTTGCAATTGGAGCTATCAGGAAGGTTCCCACCGGTTCTAGGGTGTCAAGACCAGGAACTCCAAGGGGGTTTCATTGACACAGTCTCAGGTTTAGCTGCCAAATCATGTGTGTGCTGAGCTTTCAACATAACCTCTCTGCTTCTGGAAATAATTTTTTTTAAAGAAATCTCTTTGGTTTCAAGTAGCCATATCTGTTTGCAAATCTTGGTGCTGCCCTTGCCTGAACTTTTACACGCTGTTACATGTTCTGTATTTTGTTTCTATAATGCTTTTCTTTCCCATTTCTTTGTTGCTCCCTCACTCAGAGCCTGGATATGATTGATGATGAGGTGAGATACTAGTGTGCTGTTGTGGTGAATCGTGTGACCATCGTGTGGCAACGTGTCGTCTCATTTGCAGATTCACATTTCTTGTTTTACGGTGTCGTGTGGCAAACCCCCTTGTTCGAGCAGAACACGCAGGTGTCACTGGCTCCTCTCGCCTTGTCTTGAGTTCCCCTTCCCCTTTCTGCTAGGAGTTTTCAAGGCCATAGCAAATTCCAGTTTTTGCAGTATGCTGGAAGGGGGAGGAGGGTCGGTGTCAGAGGAAATCCACCAGCTGCACTGAGCTCCTGCTGGCGATAGGAGAAGGAAAAGATAGTGCTTAAACCATCTTTTCCCCAGCCCTGAGAACTGGACAGCCAGAAGCTGAGAGAGTTCCCAGCATCATCTAACCCAGTGTAAAAGCTGCTGTAACAGCAGACAGCTGCTGCAGCCTGTAGCAGCTGCTTTGCTGACCGCGGCTGGGACAGAGTAGCTTTTGTTTCCGGCCCCACTGGCATATCCTTGGGTGGAATAAAGTGGCAGAGCAGGGACAGGGGGCTGCTCCAGCAGCTGACGCCCCGCCTGCCCCTCCCGGTGCTGTGTTTGTGCTTTCTTCCTCCGCAGCACGACATGATGAGAGCAGGGCCAGGGCTGTGGGATCGCTGTGTGTGCCTTACTGCTCCTCTGTGTCATCTCATAGTCTTCCATAGATAGCATCAGTCTCACTGGCTGTTTGATGTCATCACTTTGAACTTTAGAGTGCTTTTCTGAGGGGTTTTTTTCCCCGAGTTTCTTGTTTTATAGCTAAAAAACATCATAAAGATCTGTGAATGAGCCGGGGAAGTGGAATGCAGAATTCATTGCATCCTTTAGAAACATTCTAATTTGAAGGATAAAAATCTTGTGAGGGAATGGGAGCAATACCTGTTTCGAATTGTGCCACCTGGCCATTTGTTTGGGTTAAAAGGAATTGCCAGTTCCTTTTTCTTCTTCTATTTATAGATAGAAGACTTTGTGGGTACCTTGTACCAATTCTTAGATATCTGGTTAGATACAGATTTAATATAGCAGTGTGAAATTGTTATTATTGTAGTGTAAAGATAGTACAGATACCTCTGCTCTGATGCTGGCAGTTTATACAGAAAAATGTTGTTACTCATCCGTGTTACCCTTTTAATAATAATGCAGCATGTTTTTGTCACAGATCCTTGACGATGGACAGTCTCCTAAGCACAGTCAGTGTCAGAGTCGTGCTGTTCAGGAGTGGAGCGTGCAGCAGGTTTCCCACTGGTTAATGAGCCTAAACCTTGAACAGTATGTTTCCGAATTCAGTGCCCAAAACATTAATGGGGAACATCTCCTTCAGCTGGATGGGAGTAAGCTCAAGGTAATTGACTGACTGGAATTCAAGACTAACTGTAGTATTTGTTGTTACTTCAGGTAGTCTTAAAGGAAGTAAGAATTCGGCCAGAAAGCAGTGAATCCCTGTGTGTGGAGTAGTGATAGACTAGAATAATAAACACAGAGTATAAAGCCACAGCAACACTTTTAAGAAACTCCTATATGCACCTGGATTCAGAAGCTTCAGACATAGAGGGCATTTGCTTTGTGAAAACTCTGGGTGTATATAATCTACCTATATTTGCATACGTACATCATATAGCAGTATGTATAAGTGGCATTTGCATTACATATTTCTCATCCAGCTCTGTTTTGTGAAAGGGTGATTCAGAGAAGATAGTAAATAGGCATACATCAGAAGTAGCAACTGAAAAATGGATTAGTGGGATACTGGAGTCATAAGCTGATACCAGTTGTACTATGTTAGAACTAAATACAGTTTTGATGTATAAAATATGCATTGTTTCTTGTAGCAAAAATAAGAGTCTGCTTTTGTCAAAAATAATTACAGGAAGGAGTTGTGGGAAGCTCAGCAGATCTGAAAGTCCAAGTTTGGTGTTTCCTTTCTGAATTTTTTTCTGGCATTTCATTAACTGTAGGGGTTTTAGAAGAGAGCAAGTGAACTTTAGACAAAGGCATGGCAGAGAGAATTGGGAAGTCTTGTTCTATGTAGACTTCGATGACTTCAGGCAAATACTTTAATCTTTATTTTCCTCATTTGATCAATGAAATCAACATTGGTCATGGCAATGAGATCTAATTCTTTAATATTCTAGAAGTGGAAGGCATGGAAAGTAGTACAGAAATGTATTACTACACATCAGTAATGTATCTGAGTCTGTCTCAGATTTGCTTAGTTGTTATAGTCTTCTACCTAAGAAGAGTTATTACTAGAATATGAAAAAATTTATGCTAGATTAAACCATATGAAATTCTTTTTCTTTTTTAATCTTGTTTTCCCCACCTCAGGCTCTTGGTATGACATCTTCCCAGGACAGAGCAATCATTAAAAAAAAGCTAAAGGAAATGAAAGCCTCCTTGGAGAAAGCTCGCAAAGCTCAAGAGAAAATGGAAAAGCAAAGGGAAAAGCTGCGGAAGAAGGAACAAGAGCAACTGCAGAGGAAATCGAAGAAGACAGACAAATCATCAGATGCAACAGAGGGCACTAATGAGCAGTGATAAGCAGAAGTGCTGCTGTGTTAGGGAAGTGGAGGCACTTCAAGGGAAGAGAAACTCATACCCACTCTGGTGCCCCTTCAGCTTTCTTGTATTCATTACACAAGAGTGTGTACAGAGAAATGGGGCCATACATAGAATGACTAGGGAGATTTATATTGTGTAGTTTTATTTTCCCGCATACCCAGTTCACGCTCGTTGCTGTTGCCATGTGAAACAACCCCAGCCCCTCGGTTTGTTTTGTTGTTGTTGCCAGCTAACAGATTTCATATTTGTGTGGCGGTGTTTCCTTCCAAACTACTCTTCTCTATTGAGCTCTATGTGTTTGGTCACTTCAGTAACCAGCATGATGCCGAGGAGCATGGTCCACTGCTTCACCTCTTCTGAATAGGATGGCCAGTCAAAACGATTGGTGAACGTTTCTTCAGCAGGGTAAAAGGAGTTGTGCTCTGTCTGATATGAGTTGACTTAACTTTCTAACTGGAAGTTCAGCTTCTTTATGGTGTTTGGATACTCAGTTCCGTCTACTGGAGTAAGTTTCTTCTTGCGTCAGTACCTTGAAGCGACACTGCTCTGGAAACACAACTGTTCAGTGACTTCTTATTATACACTGGAGATAAAGACAGGAGAGTTGATATTCCCCCTGGGTAAAAGACAGGAGGTGAAACTCTTTCTGGTAACTGTACAATAGTTAATCCAGGAAGGAGGCAAAGCCTTAAATGATTATGTGGGTTTACACAGAAATCTGAGGATAACATTTATCCTTTAGATATTTGAGCAAGGATGCATTTCTAACGAGCACAGCATATAGATCTGTATCAATTTCATTGTCCTCCCAGTGTGTAGGCAACTTTCTATAGCACACTCTGCTTTCTTTTTCATGTGTTTTGAACAGGAAACTGGGCTTATTTTGTTTCGGGTTTTTTTTTCTTTTTCCAAGAAAAACACCACATCTTCAGATTCATTCTCCAATAAGCATTGGGAGAATAAGCTTTGTGCTGTGCTGTTATGAAGCTGTTGTTGGAAACGATTATCAAACTTGAGTCTGCTGAAGATTTTCAGTTTTTACAGAAGTGCACTTTAAGAAGAGGAAGACAAGGGATTCTGGTTAAAATTAAATTCAGTACATTGCTGTTAAGATCAATGCTGCCATGGAGGTGATGGTTACTAAATCCAAAGCTGCCACAGATTATTTGTTTTGACTGATATGTTTAAAAGAATATCCCCACCAAAACCTGATTTTTTGGGCATTCACATTAGAATGTTTTGATGGCTTAGCAGTGGTTGTATTACGTCCTTCAGAGATTTCTCTTTTCCTGGTATATGAGGCCATCAGTGAAGCTTGCTGTGTAGTTTTGACTATGACAGAAGCTGTGTATAGCTTGCACTGCATGGTGTTACTGCCTCTTAAGAGCGGTATTAAAATATTCAGTATTTCTTCAAAAGAATGGACAGACAACACGCAAATATCCACAATGAGAAGCTAGAGGTATTAGCTTACTGCTTTATAGTCAAAGCTAACTACGTAGCAGCATTTTTAGTTGAGAAACATCACTCCCCTTTGATGCATCCTGGAAGTTGCAGTCTTTATCTAGTCATGCCAACCCATGAATTGTTTAAGATGTTGATGCAAACTTAGAATCTTGAACGTAAAAATTTGCCAGCCTAAAAAATGCAAATGTTGAAATCTTTTGAAGAAAATGTTTGCTTTGGCTTCTCTTCTGCTTTGTACTTTATGGCATTCAGATTTGTGTCTGTAAAGCGCTCTGACGCTCAGATTTGAAACCGTTCGGGTGCAATATTTATAGTTACATTTCTTTTGATCCTAATAATTTCTTTGACATGTAAAATGGTCTGTAAACTGAGAGAACCTAGTTCATTCAAAATTAATAGACACCAGATCTACTTAGCATTAGCTTTATTTTTCCTTCCAAATCCAATTTCTGCAAGTTTCTGATGTATATCTTATTCAGATCTAAAAACGAAATTGTCGTAATACACACTTCCTGATATTTCTAAAGGCTTGTGATATTTTTCTTGAGAGAGACCACTGGCAAAAAAAATACATCTGCTAACAAGAATTCCACATTGCAGTGAATCTTTCTGCGCTCTTTGTAGGAGAAAAATTGTACAAATGTTTAACAGCCTCATAAAACTAGCATTCTGTTATTTTAGGAGGTTATCAATTTATATTTGAGTAAGAGAAGTTATCTGGAGAAACTGGAAATTTAATATTTTAAATACACTGTTGATAAATGCATTTGATTATTTTCTTTTTAAATTATGTTTACATTGTAGTAATGCTTAAGTGGTTGTATATAATAATCTAAGGTGGTGTCCCTGGTTTAGGTTCTTTGTTTTCTTAGAGACCTGAGCAGACTGCTTGGCATTTTACACTGAGTTTTCTTTCTTCCTGCTTAGAACACTGCCTAGTTAATCTCTTCGTAAATCAGATTCTTATTCTGCAGAATAACTAATTCGACTTAAGTCCTTTAAGTATTCAGGGGGGTTTTATTGGTTTGTGATAATGTTCTTTTGTTATTCTTGGACTGAAAGAAACCCAACAAAAACCTAACTTAAAAAAAACTAGTAGCTTAAATTTAAAATAAAACCGTAAAATGCATTTTGATCAGCACATGAAAACTAAGCAAACCGAGCAATGTCAAGTTTTGCTGTTCTTTCTGTGATAAAAGAGATTTATGTGGTTCCTTTTATTAAGTATGGTAACACATTGTTGGGACGTGCGGAAATGTCACTGATTAACAGATGTAAAGCACAGTTTGAAACTTTTGTTCTATAGGACTGTTGAAGTTGTGTTGCATTTTTCCCCTTGATTGTGTCATGACGTACATGAAACAAAAGATATGGATGTCTCATGATTCTTTAACTTAAACATCCTGTAAACCAATGCTAAGTCAGACTACTGTGGGGTTTTGATGTGAAAAGAAGAAACAAATATTCCATGCTAAATGACTGGAGAGACTTTCTCTTTTGGCCCACCTGCAAATGTAACTGTTGCCTACTTTTTTGTGTATTTATTTGTGGAGCTAAAGCAATTTTGCGTATGCTGACTTGCCTGGCCACCTTTGCACTGCTGCGCAGGCAGTGCGGTGTTTCCATGCCTCCAGATGACCGTCTGTGTCCTCTTTACACCTGGGTGACCGCAGCAGGCTGGTGAAGTTAACCTCGCCCTGGTTACGATGGTTGGCCAGTTCCGTAAACTAGTTCTGCTCATTGCTGTGGTACTGCCAGGTTGTGATTATATCGAGCCTCTGAAAGGGTGAAGAAAGGAGAGTTAGCAAAAAAATGGAACTCTGAAAAACAGAAAATAAAAGATGTAACACTGCAAGCTACTTTAGTCCTAAAACACCTAGTGTTTATACTGAGGTTGTGGAAGGAGTGGTGGGCTCCTTGCTCTGTCCAAATCAGCCAAATATACTGACGTTTCTTGCTTCCAGCTTGTATTTTGCTGTGTGGTGGGGTGCTGCCCCTGTGTGACTTCCATGTTAAAGCTCCCCGTTCGGTTTCAATCTGCCCGAGCAGATCAGGACCAGCATGTGAGGAAGGGGCCGAACCTGTTCATTGCAATGCACAGAGTATTGCCTGCTGCTGTTGGCATTTACCCACCGCTCTGAGCAGGTCTGGTGGGGATCGCTGTAAGTGGAGCCTGTTCTGGATCATAGGTTAGAATTGCACAGTGGAACAGAAGCCAGTAATAAAAATCTGAACAGATCTCAATGTATACAAGTGCTTTTGCATTCTTTTAACTTTTTAATTTTTTTGCAAAGGCATCTATTGTGCCATGACTCTAGTCTGCTGCAGGGATCCCACAAGAATCAAGCTTCTCCTAGAATTACTGAGCAGCTTTCCTCTGAAGCTTGTCAGTCCTCAGCTGTCATTGACATTCAGAGGTGCTTGGCACTGAGCATCGGGGTTCCTCATGCTTCATTGCTTCCATCAAAAGCTCCTGTCCTCCTGAGCTGCTCCACCTTCACCTCCTGGCTCACGTGCTGGCGAGTGAGAGGTGGGCAATGCTGTGTGATTTTTGCGAATGAATTGTGTTCCACTTTTAAGTCAGAGAAAGAAATGCCACTCTTGTTAGCAGTGCAGAATCCAGTTCTACAGAAGGAAGAGGATCATAATTTAGTTGGGTACAGCCAAGAAGTATCCAGGTACCAACACAGTACTGAAAATCAGAAGGAAAGGTTTGCACAGCTGTAGTTCTCTACAGCATCTGCACTGCAATCTGTACTGTTTCTTGGTGCTGAAATTTAGGGGAAGTTTGCAAGAATTAAGTCTTGTTTTGATTTCTTAGCCATGTGTTTACAGAGAGAAAATATTGTCAAGGCAAAAGTAACACCTGATCCACACATTTTAGGTGTGGCCTCGTCCCTTGCACTATCATCAAATTAAGCGATAGAGGGGCTGGACCCTTTTAATAGCACTTCCCGCATTCTGTGCTCTCCCTTACTTGAAAACGTCAGGAAACCTATGTTGCGGTCCAAGACACTGAAAAACCAGACGTTTGAAAAAAGCAGCACATATTCAATTAAGTTGTAAGTCTTTAACAGTCGAAATGGGCAGAGCGCACAGAGCAGTTAGATAGTTTCGCTTTAGTTTTGTCAAATCAGTGATTGAAAAATACTGCAATCACTTAGTCCTAGAAATGTTTAAGTGATTTGTGGCTTGATTACCTCTTCAAGTAAATACGTATGGGTTTGTGTGTGCACGTACACGTGCATGCACGGATGTTCATCCAGCTTTACGCTGCAGTAGCAGCATCAGCAGAGGGGCGGCCGCGCGTTACGGGGCGGCAGGCGCGCCGTCTGCGCCGTAGGCAGAGAGCCCCGGGACTGTCTGCGTGCTCGGAGAAGCAAAGCGCTACCCCACGGTCTCAGCCTGCTCACCCCTGTCTGTCCTGGTAGCTTTGCTCGCTCTTCTGTTGTGGGGTTTTATGTATTTCGCAGATTTTCAAGTTTTGTTAAAGCCATATACAGAATGGT